GATTCATCATATCTTATACCCTTATCACCTTCATCCCTTCCATAATCACTGTAAAGAGATTTGACCAGTTCTAGGAAAACATGACCAACAACTCAATAAGTGAAGGAGAAGAACAGGAGAATGAGAAGAAATAAAGGAGAGGAGATGAAGAAGAGGAGGATGAGAAGAAGAGAGAAGAGAAGTTACATGGAAGAAAGAAAGTTTTTTACTTTTTTTGCGGTTGTAAGAAGTTGTCAACTTCTTTGTGCAGGAGTATGAAAACGTCTTTGTACAGAATTATGAAAATATTTTAATGACTAGAGTGCTAAATAGAAAGTATATGTTAGGGTTTAAATGAATATTTTAAATGAAACAAGACTTCTTTGGGCGTTTTTTAGAATGAAATACACCGAAATTATTTTTAGTTACAACCACATTTAGTAGATAGAAAGAAAGGAAAATAGCCTTAAAAGGCCTCAAGGCGCGCCTCAAGGCGCTGTGTGGACTTTTGAGGCGTAAGCCTCTTGTCCGGGAAAAAACCTAAGCCTCGATACCTTTTCTGTACGCCTCACCTTGAGGCACTCATCAAAGCCTGCCCTGTAAGTGCCTTTGTAAACCATATGCTTGAAACACAAAATAGAATATGAACTCAAAAAACAGATTATGAAAATAGAGAAAGAATGATAAGCGGTGAGATATTAAGCCGAATACCTGATCGATTTTCTTACCGTTGGAAGACTATTGGTGAAGAGGGAGAAAGATTGATTAATGCTGTTGGGAAACTGCTCGTGTTTACTGTCAGAGGAAGGATCTGACTTCTGAGTACTAGGGGGCTCGGGAACACTAGGGCTGGGTGTGTTTTACAGTTTTAGTATTTAGGAGGAAAAAACTAAAAATATCTAAGAAGTCCAAGCTTCAGAGCTGCAGTCCTGTGGCTTAAAAGAAAATCAGCCCAAATGTCGCGAGAGATAAGAATGTTTTAGAAAAACAAGGCTTTCGCTGTACTCCGCCTCAGAAAACTAGAGGCACAAGCCTCAAGCGCCTTTGGAAACCGTTGGTACTGGGTGTAACCGTTATATCTTAGCATAGAGATTGTGCAAAAAACGGGATTTTAGCACGCCTTTCCACTGTAAGGTTAATCAATCACTTATAAGACAAGGAAGACTATTTACTCTTTAGCATGAGTAATGATGCATGTCATCACATTCAGATAACTTGCAATCGTTTGGATGAACTGTTGTTGATACCCTTTCTTTTATCCCCCACCCCACATACTCTTTCTTGTCTTCCCCTGCACTTCTATACGCAGTTATGAATGTTGACTATGACTGGTGAATGTTGGTATCTCTGCCTTTCTGATGTATTCTTATTTTATTTTGTTGACTACATAAACAGTGGGCAAGGAAGGAGTGGAGGGTTTGGAAGACCGCGTGGAGGTAGGGGAAGGGGGCGTGGATTTCAAGGTGGGCGAGGGAGAGGAAGAGACCGCGGAGACAAAAAGGTATCTGCTGAAGATCTTGATGAAGATTTAGCAAAGTATCATTCTGAAGCAATGCAGACAAATTGAATGTGTCTGCTTTCAACATATCTCTTCTCTACACTTGTTGTGAGTTGTGAGTATGCATGATGAAGAAGCCATGTATCTTTATACATTTTTAGCATCGTTCAGCTCTTGGTACTATTATTAGGAAGTACTTAAAGCAAGTGGGACTTATACCTCTTGATGTGTGTATGTGGGGATTGAGTTTTGTCACACATTGTTGCTTTCTATTTGGTGAAGTTAGGTGGACTTGATAGATTCAGATAATCTATAGACGTCTTCATTTTTGCCGTTGTGACTTTTTTCCTTTTGGCAAATTACATGAAAGATTAGTTGCTTTTGATTGTTTGGGACAGAATAGTTTTTGAAACAGGATGATAGATTCTTTGCAACTGTACAAGTCTTCAAGATGAACAAATTCGTGAGGTGCAAGATGTGCAGTTTGGGTGCAGCTTCTACTTTTCTCAGAGCTTTGTTTGTGTACCAATTAACATTTTACGTGAAGTGTCGTACTGTGTTAGTTCCAAGTTCAAACCACATTCTTCAAATGCCTTGCACTGAAAATTTGAGGTCTTAACTTTTTAAGGTAAAGTTCTTCTATACAGGAGTTTTGCCACTTTGCTGACGTAGAGCCTACTATGTTGGACTTAGGGGTGTTTGGAACTGATTATGCTTCTGCTTCTTTTTTAAAGCAGAAGCAAAATGAGAATCAGTTTTCAGAAGCTGGTCTCCCCTAGCTTCTAAAAAAACTGATTCTAGGAGTAAATTAGAGCACGAGAATCACTTTTGTACTTTCACCCAAACACTCCAACTTCTGTTTTTGCTTTGAAGGAGTAGAAGCAGTTTTAAGAATCAGATCCAAACCTTAGTACTACGTACTCGTATATGATAAAATTAGTATCATTGTTGTTTTTTACTAGATTTATTAATATCATTATTATAATTTATAAATTTATAACTTAAAACATTACATTGTTAATTTCACTGTTGTACGAGTAATATTTGCTAGCGTTATTGTGCTTATTGTCACTCACCATAATTAATAATATTTGAACTACTAGACAACAATACTAGAAAAGATATTTACTATTTTCTTATTAAATATGCTACACATTATACGTATTTAGATTAGATAATACATAGATAAAATGAAAAAATAGGATTATCTATTTTATAAAGTATGACTCATTCACTCCTATTTTTTTCATAGAAATAAATAAGTCATATTTTAAAAATAAAACATAATTATTCTTATTTGTGCATCTTGTTTGTTTAAGTTTTACTCTTATTTAGAACAATTTCCTTTTAAATTGTTACTCTGTGTCGTATAAAATTGTTTTCTGATTGAAAGTGAGAATAAAGTGAAATTATGTGAGAATAAAGTGAAATTATGTGATATCGGTTTTATAAGAAAAAAATATATGAATGATAGACACACGAAACTTTCCAAAATGGGAAATTAAAAGATTGTTGTGGGAGGTCCAAAAAGTAAGTGAGAAGAATTTTATGAGATGGAAGGAGTATATTATTTTTTTTGTTATCCTTGTCTGAGTTGTTTGTTATTTACGGAGAATTTTACATATACACGCTTTTTTAGTGATGCATGATTTTTAAAGCACCATCTCACCATTAATTTTAAGGTTCTTTATAGTTCATTCTGGTGTGTTTATGTTAAACACTTTTATTTTCTTTTCAAACTAGTGGAGGTCAAGACATTGTTATGTGAGTTTTATTGATATACTCCGTATATCTCATATATTTGATAAAATACAAAATCACATCACCTTTTAAACTAATTTTCATTAAGTCATTGTTTAATATGTTTTCCTTTTTGTAATCACTTTCCAATAAGAGCTTAAAATGAAGAAAAAATACTTCTTATTTTATGACCACAATATGAGTAATATATTACACTGGTGGTAATATACATAAAACTCACATATCATTGAATTAAAACATTATTAACATGTCAAGTCTTATGATGATAGTTTCCAAAACAATAAGTGATCCGATTTCAGGAGATTATCTCCGAGCTTCGACGAACTCAGAGATAATGTTTTATCTCTGAGTGACAATTTGAGTGACAAATGAATTCACTAGAAATTGTTCTTAACTGACTCCTTTCGTGTGCTCCCAAATTCCATCATAGAAATTGTTCTTAACTGATTCCTTTCGTGTGCTCCCAAATTCCATCATAGAAATTGTCCTTAACTGACTCCTTTCGTGTGCTCCCAAATTCCATCATACCTCTCCAATTTCCAAAGAATCGTCATTGCTTGATCAAACAATATCATGTTCAAAGCAAGAATCTAACTCCGCTATTTGAGATGAGACGAATCATCATAACGCCTATACTTATTGTTTTCCCTGTGCTAATTTTGGGATTAGTGGATTATTAGCGAAAAGCCTCCCAACATTCACCTTCTTGCTAACTTCACCCAAAATATCCCAAATGAAGATCTCAAGTCCAGAACTTGATTCACCTTTAGACCACTCCTACTTGTCTAGTATTCATTCTCAAGACAATATGTTGCGGTTTTGAGAATATAAACCCATAACCCATTGGATTGTCAGGTTTTTGGAGAATATATTGAAATTTGTGAAACCCATAAAATTGGTCGCATATAAACAAGAAGCATGACCCCTTTGAAACCTTTGAGCCTCTCGGCGATGCATTATTGCAAACTCTATGCTTAAGACAACTAAACCAGCAAAAATCACTCGTTACAAGATAGTACATGAAAAGATTTCGATACACTGTACAACCGAGCTGGGTTTCACCCCCTTAAAAACAGGTTTCACCCCCTTAAAAACACATACAAACTGGTATAGGTTGTTGCCGTATAGTGTACATGGGAGAAGATAAACAAGCAGAATTAAAATCTCACCAGCCCATCAATGTTCTTCTAACCCTATCTACAATAGTATTTCTACACACCACGGTTGACAAGTCAAAATCACAATTTTCATCCAAGAGGAACTTGTAAACTTCCCATTCGCGGTCTAATGTTGAATGCCTGCCGATTTCTGCCTGTAAAAATCACAGGGAGTATGGTTATGGTTCCCACATTAACTTCAGTTCACGAAGAAAGAAGACAATTTTGCCTAAATATGACCAAAACAGAACACATTTCCTTAAATCAAATACAGTAACAATTTGCAGTCCTTAAAGGCTATATTTGTTTCTAGGAAAATCGTCTGAAGAAATGTTTTTGGTGGAACATGTCTTTCCATAATATACGAAGTATTGTTCTATGCATAACATAATATTAACCCACACAATTTAAAACATAAAACAGTCTCAAGAAGATGGCCTTCCTATTCCCAAACTAAGATGTCATTTTCCACAAAAGTCTATGAGTATATTCAGCTCACGGAAAATGCAACACAAAATAAAAAAAAATTATGCTTTCTTCGTATATTTAGATTTCTTAGTCTTCACATAAATAATATAAATAACTAAAACTGAGTTTGAAATAATCTAAAATAAATTCATCAGGCTGGATTCTATTCTTTGTTACCCCCATTTTATTTCCTTTTAATTTTCCTCCCAATTATATTTTCCTGATATTTTCTAGGTTCCAAACGGACCCTAAATGTTTCGAGGAAATTGTTTTCCTTTGCAAAATGGATAGGAATAAGAAAATATTTTCATACGAAAAACTAATGGCTGCTAACAAAACTAATGTCAATGAACCAAAGGCCTTACTGAGAAGATGCAGATCCCAAGGGTCTTTAGGGAATAAGTGACGTCATAGAAAACACGGGGTCTCCCCCTTCCTGACAGCTCCACTGGATTGGCTACAAGAAGTTCAGTATCTGGTCCACGGTTTGATATAATCACAGGTAAAGGGTGAAGCAATTCCACCTTCAAGCGCGAACATAGAGCAGCTTGTTTCTGAGCGTCCACAATTTTCTTCCCATCCTTCTGTTGGATAAACAGGTCTAGTTCTCGCTGGCCCTTATTGGCTTCAGATGAACGGCCATATGCTATCTGAACAGCAAGAATACCCAGAATTAATTTGGTGAAGTTGTGAATCAAAAGGATAATCTTGGTAAAGCCCTTATTAATGGCTGATTCTGTGCAATTTGGTCATGCTGTGAATCAAATGAATAAATTTATGATTTTATCTTAAAAAAAAAAGTACTCAGACTATATTTCTTAGAAAATTAAGAGAACTAGAGAAGTATATCTAAGAATGAGGGTAAAAATGGCATTTTCTACTTTAGTTTCACCCATTTAAGCCGCAAAGGAACTTCAATACTACTTGTTCCTTTCAAACAGATCCAGCATGCTGAATATACTCTCCGTCCCATTTTACATGTCCTACTTTGGTTTGGCACAATTATTAATAAAGTAGTTGAAAAAGTAAAAGTTGTGATCGAATTGAGTATAATAAAATGAAATGATGATGTAGATCACACATTTCTTTCCAAAAAAGGAAATGTAATGCTTATTTTGGGACAACCCAAAAAGAAAGCACGACAATTAAAATTTGGGACAGAGGGAGTATTTCATAAGGCTGATAAACAATAAAAAGGTGTACAAAGTGAGCTCCATTTCAATACAAGAATAGCAAGGATAGATTATGACCTGAATATAACAGTCCTTCAGTGTTCGCATGATGTCATAGAGAAATCCCTTATGATCAATGCAACTAATCTGAAGCAATGTGTGACCAGGACTCAAGGAATTATCTACCACCACACTAGTTTTCACCACATCTGGGGTGCGTGCTTGTGAGTAGCGAGTTTCCTTTTCTGATAATTCACATTGAAACAACTTCTCTGCATCTGAAGGGGAGAGGGCAGAGATGTACTGATAATTTTCAAACTCTTGACCAGCTAACTTGAGCTCACAGCTAATGCATGATTCCCCTACAACACCACACAACCTCTCACATATTTCCTCTTGTTTTCCTTTTATGTTTAAGAGCTCCCTGAAAGCCAACATAAAAATAAATTTGAGCACACACCTTAATACCTAGCATGTACTTCAGCTTTGAAGTGAGTGGTGTCACATTAACAATCGTACAGGAATTTAATAATTTCAATAATTAAGACCAATTACTCAGGACTACTTTGTGATTACTCAGCCCTGTATTAATTAAATTTTAAAACATACTTACATAGATGCCCCAAAGTTCTATTGATATATTAGTCTTATAAATCTTAAATATAAATGAAATAATAACGATCCTAATAATGACATAGTAACAAATCCCAATAATCATAAACACTCTAACTTCTAAGAAATTCAATCGCGTAATCATACTTGAATCTAAACTTTTGAGTTTTGACTGAAACTAATCTTGATTGGGTTCAAGGTCATCATTTTCTTCTTCACCCTCTTTGTCCCCAATTCCCAAACCTAGACTGGATTTGTATTCTTATCTATCCAAATTTTAAAATACCTACTAATTATTCATAAATTCCATAAAATCCCAATTTAGTTTAAAATTTTCAGATTTAACCCCCCCAAAAAACAATATTGGCTGCCAAGTAACTCGGCGAGAGTCAACCTTGTCACCATGTAGAGGAAATTGCCAAGTACTTGGGCAAGTTACTCGGGAAAATGGAATAGTGCGAATTAGAGTACTAATTAGTAGATCATCCTACCATGAGTAGTAGCGTGTACTCGGTGAGTACTCGGCGATTAGATAACTTAGCTTGATAGTTGAGACAGGAAGCTTTAACATCAAAACTGGACTTTGCACCATGTTTAGTGTTCTAAAATCTTTGAGTTCAAAGGTCATGCCTCACCATTATGCGTTTTCTGTTAAGGTCTGAAGGACAATACAAAAGCATAGTGCAAAGTCCAATTTAATGTCAATATGGGATGCAAAAGTCATTTTTCCCTGTTTGATAGTAGTGATAAATGAAGGCATATCTGGCCTTTCAAAAATTATTACTGGTCCTTAGTATAAATCATAAACTTGGGGGGGTGAAAACTCAAAAGAATTTTTAAGCATGGAACGCAAAATTCAATTTTGATGCAAACTTGGGGTGTCACCTAAGTTTTAATAGAAATAAAAAAGCTTTTTTAGTTCTTGAATACAGAAACTATATTAATTGTGGACCCCCACAATCCCCCCAAAAAAAGATCTTGTCCAGTACCCTTTTTTGTCTCCCTACAAAAGAAGTGTCGTGTTTGCTAAACAAACTACTTCAATTACCCTAAAATGATTCACAAACAAGTTATATATGATAAATTTAGTCAAACCAATGTAACATCCAAGCCTTAGTCCTGAAAGAGTTTGGTGTCGGTTAACATGAATCAACATATAAAATCGGAGCTAAACAAGCATAAAGTGGAAGCAATCCTCCACACGTATATTCTCCCTCTACTTCGCTCTCTCCAAAGGCATACTCTCACTCAATCAGAGAAATACCATATTAATATATCATTCCTCGTGATTAATGATAGATGAACTTTAGCAAAACCAAAAAGTTGTACATTTTTCAAACGTTATTTTTCTTTTTAGGGGCTAGGTAGGTAGGAAGTACTAATTGTAAACTTGCTTAGTTTCAAAGTTATCTTTACACTTCCTTTTTCTCCAACCCAAAATTTCATTGGCTTCCTTCTATGGAAAGAATCGTATAGTTCATACTGTTTCTCTTTATTCGAAATAAATCTTAAACACACAACTTTCTTTTTCTTAATATGCATTCCAAGCGAAAGTGGGTAACAATATGGGGACAGGAAGTATTAAAGAACCAACTTGTTAAATATTTAGCTGGATAGATATACATTAAAATCCTAGGCCTCTCTTATAAAGCTACAGAGAGAGAGAGAACAAGTAATTCTTACAAGTTATCTTTTATGAAGAAAAGATCCAGCACACGGCCATCCGGTGTTGTTGTCACTTTGACTCTTTCGATGGACAGCTCAAGTTCACAAAGAAATCTGGTAACATCTATCATATTTCAAAAACAATATCAGATTACAATGTAAATCAACAAAAACATGTTTGAAGAAAGGGAGCTCTTCAATACCGTGCAATAATCCTCTCCGATCAAGACAACAAAATGTCAATAGGTATATGGAGGATGCAGGAGCGGATGGAGATGTCGGATATAAGTAAAGTAATGAGGAACATGTTGGACAGATAGAAAGAAGGCGTTCCTTCAAATTAGCCCACCTCACAATAGGTGCGTAAGATTGAGGAGCAACCCATAAAACTACATAGCACCATATCCCATCAGTTGAAAAATCTGATTCCAATAAAAATCATGAAGTTAGTGATAAACTTTTTAGTATTAACCACTGTCACGAAAGAACAGAACAAAACTTGATGCATTCAGCAGCTCACTTTGGTGCAAAATAATAAATTAGGTCATCAACACAAATATATGAACAAGAATAAGCTACACATGAATCCCAGCAAAGATGTATTGGTAAATTTTTAAATTCGAATCATTCAGCAGGAACAAGAATTGCAGTGAATACAATATAAAACAAGAAAAGCAGTTTATAAAACCTAAAGCTTAACCATTTACAGGAGTAGGTTGATAAAACAGATAAAATTATAAGAAAAAACAGAATAAAAAGCTAGGATTACCTCCTTTTCTAACGTAGAGCCCGAATTCGAGAAGGGTTCGACAGATATCGCAACCAAGGCCGGTCTTATCTGGACAATTGACCGTTATCATGTACGGATCTCCGGTTCGGTTCCCTTTCTGAATCACTACGGCGTCGTCGGACGGCATTGACCTCAACTCTGCCTAATCTGGTAGGAAATATCGAGAAATTATGGGATGAATCCAAGCTGGTTGAGGGTAAGATGGAGGCGTTCTTCTAGAGCGTGTGGAAAGAATGAAGAAGCGAAAAGCGATGGCTTTTGCGGGGAACTCAGGAAGTGTGGCCTCTCCATAATAACCAAGTAATGTTTTCTTTAACAGGATAACACTACTCTGAGACAGCTCTTTTTTTACACGGAAATAGGTGATTTGTAAGGGGCTAGAATTCTTCTCTCTATCTGGCCATTTCCTAATTTAGGTAGTACTAAGGACTTTAAGGAGTAAATAATAACGGCAGCACTAGAGGTAGGAACAAAAAGGAAACATACCGGACCTAAAAATGTAGGCCTAATACACAAAAATAATACTCCGTACTAGTAATAATTTAATTTAATTTCTGAAATATCATTATCTTTTCAAAATTCAAGATATATTAGGATCTGTTTATTTTAATGTATTAAAATCAGTTACTTTCACTTTTCATGAAGTATGGTATAATTTTGGTGGAATTTGACTTTGCAACTCACTTTCTGGATGATAATGGACTTTGCATCTCATCACATATCATCTTGTGAAAATAAATTTATGAATGAGATGCAAATTCAAAGGATTTTTAAGTGGAGTGAGGTGCAGAGTCAAAATATTTTGCAAATGGGGTGCAAAGTTCAAAAAGACAGATGTAAAGTCAAATAATCCCTATAATTTTCTGAGGTCTCTTTACTATACTTCTTTGTTCATCTTATTTGGAAAATATTTGTTTTGATTGATTCAGGTTATTGGCCTTGTTTGACAATCGGTTGTTAGCTTTTAGCTTTAGATGGTTATAATAGCGGTTTGAAAATAGCTGATTGTGTTAGTTGTTTTTATTAACCGGTTATGTAAGCTTGTTGTGAGCAACTGTTTGGTAAAATCAACTGTTTAAAATAGTTGTTAGAGTGTAAAAAGACATATAATGACATAAATATAATTATCAAATCTTTACTATCAAATCGTTACTCAACCACAACAAAACTACACGACATTAATCAAGTCAATAATAGAAAATAAAAACGAAAACCCAAAAATGGTACAATTATTGCGGAATTAGTAGTTTAGCTGTGTGTTTAAAAGAAGAGCAAAAGGTTTTCTTCTCAAAGGAGCGTCTATCACCAGCAACTCCCAATTTCTTTCATTCCTGTAGTTTTTCCGTTTGTCACTATCTTCAATTATCTAAGGAGACGAGGAAGCCATTTTTGGAATTTTAGGGCCTGTTTACTAACAGAAATATTTTCCAGTTTTCCAGATAACTGGAAAACTGGAAAACAGAAAACAGGAAACGTGTTTACAAAAAAAAATTGATGGAAAACTGGAGAAAGGAAAACAGAAAAACGTGTTTACCAAATCGTTTTCCAAAACGGAAAAAATGAGACATGTTTCTCTTTTCCTTAATGATTTGGAGAAGTGACTTTTACTAGTTTTCCAAATTTGGAAAACTCAAATGCTACAGTGTCACTACAACGAATTTGCATACTTACACCTAGTGGTGGGTCTGGTCTCGTTCCGATGTCGATTCCATTCCGGTACCTCCATTCTCGTACCTTACCCCTACCCTACTCACCCTACCCCCACCCCGCGTACCCCTTTTCCCTACAATGACCCTACCCCACCCCCTACCACATGCCTCTACCTTGGCCCCACCCCGATCCACCCTACCCTACCGCCACCCCCCTACCACCTCAACCCCACCCCGACCCACCCTACCCCCACTCCTCGTATATTACCCCTTACCCCTACCTTACCCCTTACCACATGCCCCCTACATCGGCCCCACCCTACCTCCATCCTACCCCCACCCTCGTACCCCCACCCTACTACCATCCTACCCCCACCGGCCATCCTACCCTTCCCTTACCTCTGCCACAACCCTAACCCACCCACTACCCCCACCCTTACCCCTAACCACGACCCTAACCCCCCCACTACCCCCACCCAACCCCTTACCCCTAGACCTTACCACCCCACCCCCCGACCCGTTACCCCACCCCGACCCCTACGAGTAGGTGTGGGTGGGTATGAAGGGTTGTAAAAGAGTATGGGTAGAGTGTAAGATCGTGATAAGGGTAGGGATAGGGGTCAAGGGTGTGGAATTGGGTATAGGGTGTAGGGTGGAGGTACGAGGTATAGGGGCAGGGTAAGGGTTAGGGGTATGGGTACACGTACGAGGTGATCGACCCCACATATTAACGCGGGTCTTAATAAGCACCATTTAGTAACCCGTGAAGTAAATGTGTCCTCGGATGATCACAGAACTGGGTGAAAAAATTGATGAACATGTTTTCAAATTTGAAAATGGAAAACTAAAAAATAGAAACAGAAAATTGGAGATAGAAAAACTGAAAAATAAAAACATAAAACTAGAGAACGAAAAACAGAAGTAGAAAACAGGAAAATATCTCTGTTAATAAATAGTCCCTTATTCTCTCATGTTTTCATGCATTAACAACTTGATTATCCCCAAAATAAAAAGTTAGCTGACAACCCAATTTCCAAACGAGGACATTGTCAACACAAATAGAAAAATTGTCAGACGTTTGATCATGTCTTTTACCTCATTCAAATCAGTTTACACATTTAGCAATCAAGCAAAAATCTTAAGGAAAATCAACTTCTATGAAGTTAAGAATTTAAAGTTGTGTAACGAGACATATCTTAATGTCATTTGCAGTTTTAAAAAGATGGTTATTATTGGCGGAAATGTAACACAAAGGTTTTGATCCGTAGGGTAATCTAACAGCCCCAAACTTGAAGAATGAGGATATGTTATAGGGAGTTTAAGTAGAAAACATGCAAATATGTTTTATTATAATTATAATTACAACAATATGTAATTATGTATACTCAATGGCAGGGAAAACTAGGCTAATGCTTGGATTGCACTCTGCTACTGTTTTATTGCATGAAAATTGACCTGTTCTATGATCAGGCCAATTGCAAATAGGTCTTTGGCCAGTGGCAGAGCCACCCTTTGAGGTGTGGTGTCAATTGACACCACTTATTTTTTTCCCCATATGTGGGTATATAATACTCCGTATTTTGACATCACTGAAAAATAAAAATTCTATGTATAAGCATATACTCCGTATAATCTTTTATAGGGAAAACTGTCAACTAGGTCCTCGAACTTTCATAAAAAAGTCAATTAAGTCCTTCTATAGGAGACTTTGTCCGGTCGTCGCGATTTGGGGCGGTTCCCGGTGGATTTTTTTGATGAATTTTTTTGAACATCTTATTCATCAAGCCTAGTTTAATCATACCAAATTTCAACTAAAAATTTAATCGGGAGCGCATTCAAATTAATTCGAGAACGCAAAAATGCGTAGTTATATTCAAGAATTGATTTGAATGTGTTCCCGATTGATTTTTTAGCTAAAATTTGGTATGAATAAACTAGACTTGGTGAATAAGATGCTCAAAAAAATTCATCAAAAAATTCTACCGGGAACTATCCCAAATCGCGACGGCCGGACAGAACCTCCTATAGAAGGACTTAATTGACCTTTTTATGAAAGTTCGAGGACCTATTTGACAGTTTTCCCTCTTTTATAAATTGACACCACGGATTCTAGATCTTGGCTCCGCCCCTGTCTTTGGCTCTATCACGTTCAATCTATTTTACTCATTTTCCCAAGGTGGTTAAACTTCTTCCATTTTTCGGGTCTAGGCTACCCAGATTCAATTTCATCACTATTGATTGTTGTGGCTTCTCATGATTCTTGTGTCCCAATATCACACTCTTTCTACACTTGTTTTGCCGAGCGCAAAGCTGATTCAGGCTCAATGCATTAGTAATACTTATTAAAATGATAGAATTTCATTTCATTCATTTCTATAATATAATATTGTCATTTTCAAAATTTTGACCAATTATATATTTTTAATGGAAAACATTTATAATATAAAAATAATATAAAAATCTTCTTTGTTAAAAGTACTTTTATAGAAATATAAAATTTATAATTTCCATTATATTGTACTAAACAAAATCATGGTTAAAATTTTACAAAATAACAAAGTTTTTACTTTTTAGGATGAAGGTAGTACTCCGTATTAGATAACTTTTTGTAATTAGTCGAGTTTTTTTTATAGAAATAAACACAAAATTACCTATTTACACTGCATGGCATATTGGCATGACTCAAACAACCTTTTTTATCAATTTGATATTGAGTTTTTTGGATGGCGAAACTTTATCAAAATAACTTTTCACCAATTTTTTGTGTTCACTTAATTATCAAAAGGGACAAATTGAGACTTGTGATCCTAACATATGATATCAATGCCAATTTTGTACCGGTGATACTTTTGAATATTTTGCCAAAAAAGTGGTTCTCACGAAAGAGTGTTACTTGCCTTTTTAGTTCATTTAGATAACGAACTTATAATTATCATTATCATCTAGATAACTTGGAAATCATAATCATGATTTCGAAGTAATAATTGTGTCGCTCATAATCATCTTCTAATTTGATTGAGCTCACACTTTCTCCTATAAAGAGGAGTCTTCTCCCATTTAATTAAAACACCATTAATAACTTTATGTCTCTATCAAGAGTATACTTAAAATAATCACTCTTTTCATAATCTTGAGTATGCTTAAAATAATCACTCTTTTCACAATCTTCTACTTATTTCCTTCCATTTCATAATACAACCTGTTTTTAATGAAAATGATCAAGTGTGATTTGATGAATAGATGAATGACAAATTTGAGAGATCAACAATGATGTTGATACTGTTAGACAAAATAGAATGTTAATATTATCTTGTTTAGGTATTATAATAGGCTTTAGAGAGAGATATACAATATATTGTAAGCACACAAATCATTCTGCAAACCGTATATATTTGCCTCATTTCGTAACCGTGCGTTTGGGTCATTTATGGTCATTTAGAGTATCTTCATTCATAATATTCAAATGAAGAGTTTTTCGAGTACACCTAATTGTAGGCTTTAGAGAGAGATATACAATATATTGTAAGCACACAAATCATTCTGCAAACCGTATATATTTGCCTCATTTCGTAACCGTGCGTTTGGGTCATTTATGGTCATTTAGAGTATCTTCATTCATAATATTCAAATAAAGAGTTTTTCGAGTACACCTAATTGTGATGTAATTCTTACGACATTAAATTCTGATTAATCTCAAAGCTTTAAATTATTCATTAACAATGAAGTTCATATAGTTAGCTTTTTTATGACATGCATTAAATGCATTTTCACTATAATCTATAATAATCCAAGATTTGAATCTTGATACCGGAATTTCTATTTAAATAATTCCCCTAAAAAATCTATTTCCTTCAATGTTAATCTTTGAAATAATCTAACATGCCATCTCATTAATCTTCAAATAAGGGTGATGCCCTTATACATTAAATACTCATTGTGAACAACAACAATATACTGAGTTTATTTTTCATTAGACAATACTCCGTAATTGTATGGAGAATTCAGACTCCCGACAACTGTTATGAGTGGTCACTCAGTAGAGGGCGGCCTCTGTAAGTATCGGGACATGATCTCACTCTCTATCTGTCAGATTATAGTTATAGGTTATAGCCCAATTTACATCTCCTTTTTTTGGAAGGTGTGTAAGAAGATGGTAAATGATCTCTGCCAAATGGCTGCTTAATCTTTTCTTTGCTAATTGCTATGCTTATTGAAGCAAAACCCATATCAGCCGCCTCTTAGCTGCACCCACCCACATCTTTTTCATTTCTGTAACAATCACGGTGAACATGAAGGTCATGGTAGCCATCAAACGGGTCATTGACTATGCCGTCAAGATACGGGTTAAACCGGATAAGGTAATCGCAGGTTCCTGTGGACATAGTAGTTGTGGTTGCAGGATACTCAAAAATCTGATTTTTAGTGTATGTATTTGCGATTCCTTTGTTCTTGATTCAATTGATACTTTTATTTCCCTAAGAGTGGTGTAGAGACCAGCAATGTGAAGATGTCGATGAACCCATTCTGCGAAATTGCTCTGGAAGAAGCGCTCCGAATTAAAGAGGCGGGTCTGGCTACGGAGGTGGTGGCAGTGACTGTTGGCCCGACTCAGTCAGTAGAGACTTTGCGAACCGGGTTAGCCATGGGTGCGGACCGGGCGATTCACGTTGAAGAACCCAGGACTCTTTACCCTCTTTCGATTGCAAAAATTCTGAAAGCTCTTGTTGACTTGGAGAAGCCTGGACTTCTTCTCCTTGGCAAACAGGTCGTTCTTCCCTTTTCTTCACCTCCTGTGCTTTTTATCCTTGCTCTGCTTTATTGTTTATGTTCCTTTCTTGGTATGCTATTTCATTGGTGTATTCCAGAAATCAGAATATAGGGTTTGGATTTTTGTTTCATTGGTTTAGATATCAAATTATGCATTGCAAGTGTATATTAGGCTTGAGAGTTGAGAGTAATTATGGGGTGAAAATTCCTTGTGTAAATAGCCCAAATCTGGGGTGAGGTGAGATGAGGGTTCACTACCACCCTTCTACCTCAAACTTAACAAAACACACACCACTATACTTTCCATCCTTGCCTCCAAAACATTCCCACCAAACAAGGGCTAAAGGGAAAAGGAACAATGTGATAGGGTTCTTGAGAGGACAAGGGAAACTCCAAAACCTTGTCATTTTTTAGCGTCAGCTAGGCCCAACTAGATACAGTATCAGGACTGACCAGATTTTGGTTTGATTTTTATTTGGCGACTCATATTTTTAAGTAGCATGTTTATAGTCAGTTTGATTCATCTATCTACCCTCGAGTTATAGGATTGTTTGGAGGAGTAAGGTCCGATCAAATAAGTAATAAACCTTCATGTTTCAGTAGTAGTCTGCTTGGTTTTAGATTCTACAATTAAGCCTTTCTCGGTTCAGATAAGATGCAGACACCTACTTTAGCCTTCACCTATAAATCACTTCATGTTTCATTGGTAGGCAATTGATGATGATTGCAATCAGACTGGTCAAATGGTTGCAGGACTTCTTCAGTGGCCGCAAGGAACCTTTGCTTCAAAGGTTAGCATCTCGTCTCATCTAGTTTTTCCTAATGAAGGCACACGCTAAGGACACTCCTTTCCAATGTTCCTTTTGGGCTTTTAATGTCCTCTCTGTATCATCTTGTTACTTCTGAATGCATCATATTAGATTCTCTATTGCCGCTTGAAGCTCTAAATCGCTTCATTGTGCTGCTGGTTTGTTTCTGTTTCATTTGTAATTAAAATCCATTATTTTTCATATTCCCATTCTTCTCTTAATTCATTGGTTTCTAACTATATTATCAACAGGTCGTTGTGGAACAAGAAAAACAGACGGTAACTGTAGAGAGAGAGGTTGATGGTGGGATTGAAACATTGTGTTTGGACCTACCTGCAGTAATCACGTACGACCCCCTTCACTAAAATTTATTCCTGTCCATCCTGCTGTCTTAGCTTCTACAAAAGCTTTTATCATCCTGAAACATTTGGTTGCATTGAACAGTAATGTTATCTCAGTTTAATATTTGAATTTGAAAATATTTCAGTTCTTTCCTATATGTAATACACTAATACGGAGTAGGTCATTTTCACTTTTGGTGCATGGCTAGTATCTGTTTTGATGCATATGGTTCTTCTGATCACTGGTTAATTTATGCTTTCTTTTCTACAGCACTGACTTGAGGTTGAACCAACCGAGATATGCGACACTCCCTAACATAATGAAAGCAAAGTCAAAGCCAATAAAGAAGATTACACTTCAGGAGTTGAATGTGGAGATAAAAAGTGATATAGAGATCGTGCAAGTTAATGAGCCTCCCAAGAGGAAAGCTGGAGTTATACTCTCATCTGTGGATGAGCTTATTGACAAACTAAAGAATGAAGCACGAGTCATTTGAGTCTCTTGCTCAATTCATTAGTTTTTTACTCGATTGTTATTGCACCTTCCTAAAATCATCATACATGTGTTCAACTTCTAAGTATTATATTAGTAAAATAATTAAATGCAAAAAAAACATACAATTATTTATATCTTTGTTGTAGTGTGGAAAACTAACATCTCTAGTACCCCTCCATCGGAGGACCCAGAACCCTAAATGGGTGTTCTGGTTACAGTTCTCAGTTTATTCTCAAGCGCGTATACTGTATAGGGGTTACAAATGGCCGACTTTGCAAATCATCACGAGAGCTTCTCTACCTACAGAGAGACATGATCACTATAGACTTCATTAGGGAAAAAAAACTCAAATTGTCAACTGGAACAGCTCAGGAAGAGCCTTCAAAACTACAGGTTGACAATTCATAGCAGCCATGGCTGTCACTGCCTTTAAAGCTAAGTAGGATTTGTAATCACAAGTCAAAGGGAACTTTTTTGTTGAGCAAAATTAGGTGCAAGGACACAATGAAAATAAGGATGTTTTCATTTGAACTGAAATTTTCTGGTCTGGTTTATAAAAGTCTAGTTTGACCTGGTCTAACATCAACAAATAGCAGTTCAAATGAAACTCGAGGCGCAGTGCCAATGTTCTGTTAAAAGATTGATAACCTAATATCAATGAAAATCACATCATAGAAAAAGGAACAACTCAAGCGATGAAACAGAAAAAAGAACTTCACATCCAATTCTCACAACACCATCACACTGGAATGGATTTGAACTGAGAAAATCAACATCTTACTTAGATTACTCAAGTTGTTGGCATTACATAGGATCTAAGGTGAACAAAAAACAGTGATAACTTACGAGCTAAAAGAGTAAAAGATGAAATCCCAGATTGTCATTACACGCGATCAAATTGTCAACTGGAGCAGCTCAGGAAAATCCAGCCTTAGACTTCATGTGGAAGTTCTAAAACTTCAGGTGGATGATTCCTAGCATCCATGGCTGTCACTGCCTTTGAAGCTAAGTAGGATTTGTAATAAAAAAATCCAAGGGAACCTTTCTGTTGATCAAAATTATGCGCAGGGAGCCAATGAAAATTAAAAAAAAAAAAAAAAAACTCTCTACAAATGGAGTTCAAATGAAACAGCAGGTGTCGATTTATTTTTATTAAATGCCCTAAATTTATCGTTTCACAGCCTAATGTCAGTGAAAATCGCATCATGGAAAAAGGAACAACTAAAGCGATGAAATAGCAGAAAGGACTTCACATCCAAATCTCACAAGTCGCAACAACATCACACTGCAATCAAATTGAACTGACAAAATCAACATCTTGCTTATATTACTGAAGTTGTTAGCATTACACATGTTCTAAGTTCCCAGAAACAGCGATAACAATAGTAGTACGAGCTATTCAAAAGATGAAATCCCAAATTTAGAAGCATCGAGAAATAATCAGAACTCGTCTATCCACCGAACCCGTACAAGGTTCTTCCCTGCCTCTTCAGCGCATAAACAACATCCATCGCCGTCACAGTCTTCCTCCTAGCGTGCTCGGTGTAGGTCACCGCATCTCTGATCACATTCTCTAGAAAGATCTTAAGAACGCCTCTGGTCTCCTCATAGATCAGACCGGAGATCCGCTTCACGCCACCTCTGCGAGCCAGGCGGCGAATGGCCGGCTTCGTGATGCCCTGGATGTTGTCTCGGAGAACCTTCCTATGACGCTTGGCTCCTCCCTTTCCCAAACCCTTTCCTCCCTTTCCGCGGCCAGACATTTTTACACAGAGAAATTGAATGAAGAAGACGATTGAGTTTGATTACTGAATCTATAATTGTGAACGATTTCGGCTTGGACATTTGAGACGGGGTTGCTTAGCGGTATTTATACACATCAAGGCTCCAGGAAGGAATATGTCGGGGATGTAATCTTGATCGTTCGTTTCAAGTGGTTGATTGACGGTTCTTATTTGCGATCCGAGAGTAAAGCAGAGGCTGTACGTGAGTGGTTGATTTAGCTAATCGACGGATAGAATACACATATTGAATATTTAGAGACACATGGCGCTAAATTTTGGGCGCTCAAATTTTAGCTTGTTTTTAGTTTTGGAGGCCAATTTTTGTTTTGTTTTATTTAAACCATACTTTTTTGGGATTTTTTCACAAATAGGCTAAAAGGTGAAAGTAATATCACTTTTTTCACTTTCCAAAGTTCTTTTCAAAAATAGACTAGCTAAAATTTTCTTTTCAAAAATAGACCATGTACATAGAACAAGCCTCCTGGAATCTATATTCAAAGAAACGTTAGCAGGGCCGCAGGCACTACGCTACTCATTTTACACCTCTTTGTTAAATTTATACAAACTTCAAGAATTGCTCAATTCATGTTTTTAAATAGAAAAAAATTAATCAAAAAAAAAATAGCAAAATGTAAAAAAAGATGAAGGTAATTAGAAAATAATAAAACTATTAAAAAAATATGAAAAAACAAAAAAATAAAAAGGTAATAAAATAAAAAAAACAAATAATGTATAAAAAAATATCTAAGTTGAAAACATCTATGTTAAATTTTAAAAAACGGAATTTAAATATAAAAAAAAAACTGAAAAACGTTAAGAAACATATATAAAATTGGAAATACAAAACTCAAAAGCAAAAATGAGAATGATCTACACTAAACTAAAAAGTGGAAAAGTTGTACTGTTGTTGTTTAGAAGACTTTATATACCCTTTATAACTTGTATAAAATGTACGTAAAAAACAATAAAAATATAAATAACTGAAGTTTTTATAAAATTAATAAAACAAAAAAAAAGAAATATATAAATGGTAAAGAAAAAGGAAAAAAAAAGAAAAACTTTCTCACGGAATGAAAAAATTAAATTAAACTCTAAAATATATAATCTTAAAAACGAGTAAAAAATTATAGAAAAATGTTTTTGAAAATATTAAAAATTATAAAAGGCAATTGAAACTTTTATGAATCACTTATTATTTAGAAACTGAAATATATACAAATTAAAAAAAATTAAATTTTGTATGCATGTATATAAATATTTGAAAAAAGTTAAGGAATTAAATGGTATAAAATAAAATATAGATACAAAAATCTTTTAAAAAAAATTAAAAAGTAGAAAATTTAATTAAACTTAAAAGCATTAAAAAAATGTGTAAAATAAAAAATTAAATGTAAAAGAAAATTATACATGAAAATAAAAAAAAATAAAATACAAAATATTATCATTTTTTTGGTTTCTCTTGTTTCTTTTTGTTGCCTATTGTTTCTTTTTGTTGATAACTCTGATTTTTTTTGTTTTTTATTGTTTCATTATGTATCATGTGGTTGGTTTATATTCATAAATCCAAATTTATCATTTTAGCTGTTTGTGTATAAATCTATTTAGCTAGTTTTATTTCAAGAAAGGAGCAAACATAAATAAAATATAAATAAACATTAAAAAACAAAAATCAATAATAAAACATCAATAAGAAACACCATGCAACAATAATCAACACATTGCAACAATGTGCAACACAATGCAACAATAAGAAACACATACAATACAACAAAAAGAAACAAAAACAACTTATCAAATATCACAACAAATACTTAGTTCAATCTTTTACTTCAATATATTACATGTATCAAGTATATTATGTGACTCTGAACTTATCTTTAGCCACTATCAACTCTGCATTTGCTGTTTCTCCAAATATAGGATGAAAGCTCTGAAGTAAAGCTTCCATACCTTGAGTTAGAACCTAGGACAGATGTTGGGTACATGTTCAAAATCTATTAGTAATAAAACAACCTTGAATAAAAAATAGACATCTTCTTCGCTCGTGACCAAATAACAATTCCAAATCAGTCATACAAGCCCCAAGACTTTTCCACATTCTTTCTGTCCAATGCAAATTAAACCATCCCAATGTATTCCTGCACAACAAGAGAATATGTCTCTACTTTAGTGGCAGCATTGATGAGCATAAAGTTTTTATGTAGGGAACTGAGAAATTGATCTAGTTATCTCGTATATAATTATATATCTTGGAACCATCCATAGGGAAGGCAAATAATGCAAGCTTCCCAAGAAGTTGCTGAGGAAAAACTAAATGATCATTTTCCTTTTGTGATCTAGCAGACTGGGAGTGGTACACTAAGTAGCATGAATGCTATTGAGGTTATAGCAAACAGAGCAGGTGAACTTCTTGATCATAAACTAGGTGCAAAATGTGTACACCCAAATGATCATGTGAATAGATCATAGTCTTCCAACTACACATTTCCTACTGGGAATCCTGCACAGTCTGAGGCTCTCACAATGGTCTTTGCCCAGGTTATGGGAAATCACATGGGCCTCATAGTGCAGGGATCAAATGGCCATTTTGAGCTGAATGTGTTCAAGCCTATGATTGCAAATTATGTCTTACATTTTGTGAGGCTGCTTGGAGGTGCACGTGCTTCTTTTGAAAAGAACTAAGAGAGGGGAATTCAGGCCATTAAGGAAATGATTTCTTAATTACTACACATCTTGGAAAGCATGACTATGGTATATACTGGGGCAGTATGAAAAGGAAAGTTGCCCATGCCTCTACAAAATTGAAACTAGATTAGAAGGATGAAAAATAAAAATCAAAATGTGACAAACCCATTTGTTTGTATAAAGAAACATAACTCAGAATATGTAAATAAACTCTTAGCAAGGACATGCATCACAGGCTCATGAAAATAAAATAGATCATGAATTAGTTAGCAATCCACTTACTTATGATCCTGATTCCTGAAACAAAAGTAAAATTGAGCCTAAACTGTATGATACACAAATTGAGATATTTTCATGCTAGCTGCAAAACGAAAAAATTCTATATTAAATATTATATTCATGACTTAAGGGAAAGAGGAGAGAAAATTGTGACCGACAGGGTAAGCATCCAGTGCTGAAGGAGCAAGTTGTCTGCAGGCATTCCATAGCAGATTCACATTCAATTCCTCCGTATATTGCAAAATAAGTAAATTAAAGTAAACCAAACAAATTAAGCACTCGCAAAGGATCTAGTGATAATAACTAGATAGCGAGTAAACCAAATGGACGAAGCATAATACATATGCTTCAAATCACTAAGATGTGAGAAAAATAGTAATTTTTCTAATTTGAACAAGTCAAGTATCGATGCAGAAACCCTAAAAATTCAAACACGTTATGAATCGCTAAACACAACAGAAAAGGATCGATTAGACAAAGCAATACTATAGGTGCATAAAATAAAATAAAAAATTAAGGTTACCAAATCAGCTAGAACACGAACAAATCAGGGATTGTTGAACGGAAAAGTATGAATTGAAAAGGGATATGATTAACAGAAAATGATGGAGAGAAAGGCGAACAGAAATTTAAGCAGAAAAAGGATATATATGAAGTTGATCTAATGAACTCGGTGAGGCCGGGTCAGATTTACATACCTATTTCCTAGAAGAAGAAGAAGAACTTTCTGTTTGAGATTTTGCGTGGGAGATACGGGAGATTCATGAAGTTGATGTAACGAACTCTGTTTTTCGTTTGCTAAGAAGATACGGGAGACGACTTGCTGGGCGAGAGATTATTTTTGAAATAAAAAAGTTGTTAGTGAAAAGAAGAAAGTTTATACTTCCTCCGTTCCTTTTTAATTGCAACAGTCAACATTTCACGTTTGCCAACGCACAACTTTGACCATTAATATCTCTCATTCCGTATTAGTAAAAAATATAAAAAATTCATATTTTGAAAATTTAGATTGAGAAGAATTTAACAATATGTTTAAAAAAAATTAATATATGCTACATTAATTAATAAAATATAGTCAAAGTAGAATATGTGAATAGTGCAAAAAGTCCAATGTTGCAATTAAAAGAGAACGGAGGTAGTATATGAAAGAAAAATTAACTTGGGCTATAAACGAAATGTAGCCTTTAAAACTGGCCCAAACGGGTAATTACCACTACTTTTTTACAGATCTAAACCCAACTTCTTAATGCAAAAAACAATCAAATAAAATCAATTAAACAACTCATTTAGATCTAGTTTGGGATCACTAAAATTGGTTCAATCAATTGAATCGTTAATTTGAATAGTCTATCTGTTTTGGCAGCTACTCTCTATTATAAATATATATTTGTCAGAATTGCTATGGCTTTGGAGAGATCACAGTAGGGGTATTGTGTGGAGGAGTGATCTCGTATTATTATTTCCCCTCATTTTTTTTTCTTCTTCTTGTTTTTTATCCTTTTATCATTATATATATATACATTATTTTATCCCTTTTATTTTATCATTTTTAGGTATATTAATCTCTACCCTTTTTATATTATCTTTTTTATAATAGCTTATCTTTTCTATCTTTATTTTATTTCTTTTCCTTTTGGTGGTGATATCATGTATCGATTCATGTTAGTCGACCTCAATATCTGTTGGGACTAAGGTTTGGTTGTTGTTGTTGTTGTAGTATTTGTCAGAACTCTCATTAAGGTAACATGTTCCGTATATCACATTGTATCAAGAGACCAGACCTAAAAAAAGATCGGTTCTCTTCCTCCTCACGTTACAGCCACTGTAACACTTGAGATTTAATATAAACGGATTAATAGTACTACTCATACCAACAGAGGTGCATCTCCTTTTAAGGGAGCTCATCACCCAAGAACTCCCAAGTTAAGCGTGCTTGCACGGGAGTAGTCTTGGGATGGGTGACCCCCTGGGAAGTTTCTCAGGGCGCGCATGAGTGAGGACAAAGTGCGCGGTAAAGGCTCGTGGTGGTTTGTGGGGACAGTACTATTGGTCCGGAGTAACTACCTCGGGTCCGGTGGGGCCGGGGTGTTACAGGTGG